CCCTGTGTCTCTGCCATGAGGGCCCAGCACTGGACACAGCCCTGGAGGGGCCTCAGCAGGGCCAGCACAGGGACAGTCCCTGCCCTGGTCCTGCTGTCACACCGTGGCTGGCACAGCCCAGGGGCCATTGGCCTCGTGTCCCCCTGGGCTCACCTGGGCTCATGTGCAGCCCCTGCACCAGCACCCCCAGGGCCTTTCCAGCTCTCAATGTATGAGCCATGAATGCGAGGGCAGACGACACAGATTGATTTTTAGGCTGCAAATTTAACATTCTATGTAGATATGCTTCACTAGGAAGCAGCAGCTGTGTTAATGTAATGGTATCTGCTGCTACAGTTCCTTGTGTTTTCCCTTTTCCCATCCTCACTGCATGTTCTCTTACTATATTTTAGAGCTTTTAAATCCTTCATCCTTTCCCTTTTTACTCCCAAACACGTTGTTTGTTTTTACTATTATGTATTCTCTTCCTAATAAATTCACCCTGCTTCTGTCTTAAACACTTAATTTCGGGGTCATTCCCCAGGTCACAGACATCCTAGCTCGGACTGCAATCTCTCTCTCCAGCACTTAAACCTAACCCAGAAGATGACAGAGTGGATCCTGCCCCGTTGTCTGGAAGGAGCAATTAGACAACTCTGATCTCCCCAGTCCATTCCCAGCACTTGGCAAAAGAATTTCAGAATTCCCAACAGCTGGTGTCACCAGTCCTCGCTCTGTAAGGCCTCCAGCTCTTGTGCAAGAACAAAGATAGGCATCTACAAGTTCAACTCTTCCCTTCTCCCAGCCTGCACCTCCTTGTTCACCCCACCCACTCTCTACATAAAGCCACCTCTGCCGGTTTCCCAGGTGGCTCTAAAGCAGCATCAACACAGAACTCAACCTATTTCCTGCAGCTGAACAGCAGCAAGGCCTGACGCCATCAGTGACCTCTCCTTCCAGTGACCCAGCAGGGCCATGAGCCCCTGCAGTACCGACCTGCCCCTGCAGACACTGCCCAGGTGTGATTTTGGACCCCTACAAGAGCCTTGCAGCTTCTCAGAGGGCAAGCAGAGCTTCTAAGTAGTGTCAATTCACGTTGTCTATACGTTCATCTTTTCCAGAGATTCTCGTGAAGCTGCTCACAGCTCTTGCAAAAGTGCAATGGTTATTTCCAACCAGCTGTCATTCCTTAATTAGTCAGCCTGGAGTAAGTGCTCTCCATCCCTACTGGTAATGGCAGCAAGAGATAACCCTGGGTCCGAGCAGGGATGTTTTGCTGCTGCCTTACAGTTGTGAAAAGCCAAGTGAGTCGAGTCGCCCCAGAAAAGTGCAGCAATGACAGTAAAACTGACACATTGCTCTGCAAGTTGAAAAAGCTGGTCCCTTGAACTTCTGCATCCCATATTCTTTGCTCAGTCCCACAGGAACTTCAGGCTTTCCTTAGTCTTTCTGCTCCACAACACCTCCGGTCTTTGGGATTCCTGTGAGATGCAGATGAACATGGCAAACAGGTTCAAGAATTACCCGGGAAGAAAGAGGTGCTGACAAGCCTAATTACATCAGGCTCGTTCCCTTTGGAGATCAGGAAAAGCTTCCAAGATAAAAACAACGATCTCCAGAGGCAAGAGATTGGTCAGTGTTGTAGAACCCCATAAATCCCAATTTCCATTAAGATCCCTGGATACCTGGTAGCAACCAATATCTCCAGTTTAGTAGTGTCACATTCTGTGTTTACACAACGTGAGGTGCAAAGGCAGCGATGTCCTCCTGCAGGTGAAGGGCTGGGGGCCTGCAGGGCTCACCTCCCTCAGCAGGGGCACGAAAAGCTGCCCCTTTGCTAGCAGAAATCTATCAGACCTGCCCAGGCTAATCCAGATTGCCACCAGACTGCCCTGGGCTCCAGGCAGGGAACAGCCAGGTTTGCACCCAGGGAGTGCCCTGAGTCACTTAATTGCCT